AGCGTGGTGGCACTGACAGGTACATACACCTCCCCGTGTGCACATAGCGTGGTGGCACTGACAGGTACATACACCTCCCCGTGTGCACAGAGCGTGGTGGCACTGACAGGCACACACCTTCCCTCCCCGTGTGCACAGAGCGTGGTGGCACTGACAGGCACACACCTCCCCGTGTGCACAGAGCGTGGTGGCACTGACAGGCACACACCTCCCCGTGTGCACAGAGCGTGGTGGCACTGACAGACACACACCTCCCCGTGTGCACATAGCGTGGTGGCACTGACAGGTACATACACCTCCCCGTGTGCACAGAGCGTGGTGGCACTGACAGACACACACCTCCCCGTGTGCACAGTGTGGTGGCACTGACAGGCACACACCTCCCCATGTGCACATAGCGTGGTGGCACTGACAGGTACATACACCTCCCCGTGTGCACAGAGCGTGGTGGCACTGACAGGCACACACCTCCCCATGTGCACAGTGTGGTGGCACTGACAGGCACACACCTCCCCGTGTGCACAGAGCGTGGTGGCACTGACAGGTACATACACCTCCCCGTGTGCACAGAGCGTGGTGGCACTGACAGGCACACACCTCCCCGTGTGCACATAGCGTGGTGGCACTGACAGGCACACACCTTCCCTCCCCGTGTGCACATAGCGTGGTGGCACTGACAGGCACACACCTCCCCGTGTGCACAGTGTGGTGGCACTGACAGACACACACCTCCCCGTGTGCACAGAGCGTGGTGGCACTGACAGACACACACCTCCCCGTGTGCACAGAGCGTGGTGGCACTGACAGACACACACCTCCCCGTGTGCACAGAGCACAGTGGCACTGACAGGCACACACCTCCCCGTGTGCACAGAGCACAGTGGCACTGACAGGCACATAACTCCCCGTGTGCACAGAGTGTCGTGGGCACTAACAGGCATGTACCTTCACATGCACAGCCGCACGGGGCCCATCAGCACCCACACACCCTTACTGTCCTGGGCTCCAGCGCTATCCCTGCCATAGGCGGCGCCCCTGGCTCTGAGCTGCTGTCCTTGGGGGCGCTGTGACTGCCCCCGAGGCCCAGAGAGGGCTGTGTCCGCCTCCCTGGGGGAAGCAGAGCCCCATCTCCGGCTTAGGCTTGTTCAGTTAGAAGTGAATTCTGAAATGGAATTGGATGAAGGGCAGGTGAACGTGGAAGGTTCTAAGGTGCCACGAATTAGAGGAAACAGGAGCAGACAGGGTTATGGCAGTGCAGGAGGCAGGAGACTGTGACAGACTCACGGAGCAGACCATGGGCACATCGAGTAAAATCATATTGGGGGCCATGTGACAGGTCTGAGTTCTGTGATATTAAACGCCAGAGGAGACGTTGAAAAGCAAGTAGAGAAAAAACATGACATGACTTCAGTATTTCATAAAGAGCCCCTGACTGCCCAGGCGGCCGTGCCGTAGCCGGAGCAGGGACAGCAGCCACGTGCTGGGACGGGCTCACTGGACGGGCCTGCTGACGTGGCCGGCGTGGGGGTGGCAGCGAGGAAGAGAGCTGCAGAGATTCCAGGGGTAAGGAAGCCGACCTGTCCCCCAGCCTCAGAGCACACACTTCTCCCTCCTCTGCGAAGTGCACCCCTGCCCCCAGGACCCTGAGCTCAGGCCGGCCGGCCTCCCAAGCACCCGCACACTCCGTCCCCTCGGCCAGCAGGAGCTGCGTGCTGACCACACATGTTCGTGTCTGCATTCGTGTTCACGGGCTGCATGAAGTGTAACTCTTAGTAAGGGGATTGGGAGCAGAAGCAGCAATGCTGGACGGGAGGACAACGGGCATCTCTAGGGAAAACCAGGCAGGTGGCTGGGAAAGGTGGACAGGAGAGGGAGCAGAGCTCTGAGCCCAGCGAGAACTGCTCTCTGCACAGACCCCCCTGCTCCCGCTCCACCTACAGGAAGCAGAGCTCGGAGCCCCCTCAGGAGTGCAGCCTGGCAGGCACAGGGGACGCCCCGGAAACAGCACCAAGGAAGGCCTAGACCCCCACCAGACGCTGGCGAAGGGACCCCCAGGCGCGTGCATGAGCTGGAGTGGAACGTGTGAGGTGCACGCTGTGGTCGGAGCTGCTCTCCGCCTGCCCCCCCAGGTGGGTGGGCGCCCGGGGCCCTGGGTGAGGAGGAAGGACGGGGACACTAACACTTTGTCACTCGCAGAGGCGGGGCTGACCCTGCTCCGCTCGCCGGCGTGTCAGAGCCACTTTCTACTTCTTGCCAGCCTTTCCCTCCAGGGTGGTCCTGGCGTCTCCGCGGTTGGTCCCGGACGCCTGCTGCCTCTCCCCGAGGCTGCCCCCTGTGGGCAGACCACCCTGGGCTCCCCGAAGGGATGGCGTTTGTCACCCAGAGCGACACAGTGGGTGCTCCATGTGGCTGAGTGAATACAAGAAGAATAGGCCATCTGTTGGAATCTGCCCAGCTGAGAGATGTCTGTACACATAAGTGATATGACAGCCATCCTGTGCTGTTAAGACTGTGTTCCCAAAAGCTGTATGTGAAGCCCAAAGCCCTGGTGCATTTGGAAGGGGGGCCTCTAAGGAAGTCATTGAGGGTCAGTGAGGTCATAGGGAGGGCCCCAATCAAGAGGACTGATGTCCGAGGAGCCTGCTCTGCGCACGACAGGGGAGAGGCCGTGGCACACAGGAGGCGTCTGCACCCCAGGGAGGGCCCCAGACCCAGGCCTGCTGGCACCTGGTCTTGGCCTCCCCCCTCCACCCCCCACCCCTCCCAGAGCCCAGTGGAAGCAGCGTTGCTGTGTGAGCCCTGAGCCTGGGGTGAGCTGCCGTGGTCCAAGCAAACGATGCACACACAGAGCAGCAGGTCATTAGTTCTCCTCCTTCATATCCAGTTGCCAAAGGAGCCTCCGAAGGAAGCGGCCGCTGGCATGTCACCAGGAGCTGCTCTGCCTTGGAGAAAAGCATTTCTCTGTAATTGCTTCTTTGCTAACAGAATATGGACCACCGCCACAGGACAAGCCGTCCCCACCCCGCGTGAGTCTGCATTCCGAACGGAGGAAGCTGTGTGTTGGCACAGCCAACAGGACATGAGTCTGTAGGGTTTAACAAGAGGCTGGGCTCTGACTGTCACTCCTCCATCACCGGTCACACCTGTTTGCCAGGTGGCTCCCACAGAGCTCTGGCCAACACTGAGAGCAAAGCAAGAGGGGGGAGGCTCACTGCAGTTTTTTACGGGAAAAGCAAGCCATTCCAGAACCTTCCAGCAGACTTCCTTGGTCTCATTGGCCATGGTGACATTGCAGGCTCAACTCTGGTTTTGAGAAGCTGAGAAAAGTAGGTCAACCTTGAGCAACACGGGTCCACGTACACGCCAGATTTTGTCAATAGTGGGCCCCTCCTAGCCATGTGTTTGGTACTTGCAGATTCAACCAACCACGATTGCAAAGTGTTTTCTATCCAACCTTGAGGATCTGTGGTTACAAATGTGAAAATACTTTGGTTCTTGATTGTTTGGAGCCGTGCATGGAGAGAGCTGGCTGCAGACTCCAGTTACTCGTGAATTTCTGACCGATGGGGTTCAGTGCCCCTGGCCCACATTGTTCAAAGGCCACTGTACCTTAGACCACCCACTTCCCATTTCAGGGCGATGCAACCTCTGCTGGGCAGGCTAGTCCGGAGTGGTGGTTGCTGTGCAGCATCCGGAGGCCAGGCCCACAGCTAGCTCCAGGGGTCCCCCCGTTATGGCCCTGGTCACCCCAAGGTGTGCTTACATTCCGTACTTCACCAAAGGCCTCGCGCCATCCAGCACCGATACCTTAGACGGCAGTGGGCAGGCTGCCCTGGACCTGAGGCAGCCACACCTGTCCCAGCGGAGCCCCACCTCCACCTGACAACCGGGGCTGTGCTGCTCGGTGGTTTCTGTGCGGGGACGGCAGTCTGTCAGTGCGCCAGTGGCAGGGTCTGCTCTCCTGTGAGGCCGCGGTGGAAGCCTCGTGTTCATCGCCGCTGTGCCCTGGCCAAGAGCCTGCGGCCCGAGCCAGCAGGCCAGGCCTGCACTCGCAGGCTGCTCGGAAAGGCCTCTCAGCAGAGCCCGGTTCTGGGCGGGCACTGGCATCGGTGGCGGTGCAGTGCGTGCCAGGACAGGCCGTGACAAGTTCCCACCTCACGTCGTCTAAACACTGGAATCTGGGCTCTGTCAGAACACAAGCAGGTGTGTTGTAACAGAGCTTCCACGGGGAGCAGACTGGAGTTAAGGTAGAAAAACGCAGTCCCGGCTGCGCACGGGGCTGACTCACGAAGTTTTGGGTCATGCCAGCGCCCCAGGAGGGAGGGGACAAGTCCTCAGGTTAGCACTGCCCATTGCTCAGGTGTCCGCAGAGCCGAGGCCAGGGGCTGACTGCGTAACACAGCCTCAGCCTCGAGGACCGCACTGGAGGGCAGCTAAGCTGCCTTCCCAGCGGAAGCCGACAGCGCGGAGGGCGAGGCAGCCAGGGAGCCGCGGGAAGCCAGTGTGTCTGTGGCGCTCTGTGAAGAGCTCCCGAGGACAAGTTGATTTTGTCTATTTCCTAATCTCCAAATCCCTCTGTTTTCTAAGTCACACATCCAAATCCTTCCTGGACTAAGGCCCCAGTTCACTACAATACTGCAGGCAGTTGAAGCAGATTAGGAAGATGGTTTATCGGTTCGCTAGATAAATGTGCTTGAAATGGCTAGTGTCAGCATGGCAGACGGATGAGCGTTTAAAATGCTACGTTTCATGGTGGTACTATCTGTACGTCAAGTGAGTTTTTCCGGGGTTAAAAGATTACCCAGGAAGAGTTGTGTCTTTTATTAACGTTGGGGCATCTGAGGTGCCTCCACCCTTTCAGGGAGACGTGCTATAAAGTGTGAACCGGGAAACACGGTCCTATCGTGCAAAGCCGCGCTGACTACAACCAGTTCACACGATGGCATGGGGAACGGGACGAGGAGGCCGGGGGGAGGGTATCAACATCGGACACAGCTTCCGTCGCACGGAGAAATAATTTATTAAACAAACATCACACTGGGAATCAAATGCATTACAAAAGTAAAAAAGTAAATTCGATAAAGTGATAGTGGCTGACCTAATCAATGAGTTTTCCTTCACTCCCCCCAAACTTTAATAACCATCTTCCGAAAGGCCCGATTGTGCAAGTGTGTGGGTCACTGTAAACAGATGGGTAGTGTTATAATATCTGGAATTTAGTGAAGATCATTTCCATTCGACTGAAATCATATTAATTTAAATGACTGGTCTCTATACACCCTTTTCAGCCTGGAAAAATGTCTCAGACGAGGGAGCAGGTGGCGGTCCGCCGCCCCGGACAGAGCACACTGCGGCCCGCCCTGCGGAAGACAGCCTGGGACGGAGCTCCCGGTGGCATTCTGACACAGACCTTTAACACGTGTGGAACTTGGTTAAAACGCAGCCTCCTTTCCAGATCAAAGGCCAGCAGCGGCCGCTGGGCCTGTCCATCTGTGGGAGTGGCATTTTAAATAACCCGTCTCAGCACAGTCACTGAGACACGGCACCTTCCAGCCATGAACAGAAATGGGGCTGGCCACTCCATTTCCCGGCAAGTTCCCCTCCGTTTCCAGAAAGTATATGGAGTTCAATATGCCAACTGGGATCTCAAAATGCTAACATGAGTACGATGCTTATTAACAGCAATATGCAAAACAGTAGAAATAAAGTAACTTCTTATCATACAAATGAACAAGGCACTTTTGACAACTGTCCGCGAAGCTGACTCCCAGACCCCAGGAGACTTGTAGAAAGTGCAGGCCCTCGCTCTACTCACTAAAGAAATTCACCACTTCAACTTGGCACGGAAGAGTTTAATTACCATAAAGTGCATCACTTGGCTAAATATATTAAAACGAAAACCGGCCAAGAATAGATTATAGTAACATATGTACACATATGGGAATAACAAGGAATTCCAGGAGCCAACATAGTTAGAAACTTTATAGTGTGTGTGTGTATATATATATATGTGTATGTCTTTTTTTTTTTTAACAGCTCCCTATTTACTCAGAATCTCTACTTTCAAATGAGTATGCCTTGATTAGCAAAAAGAGGTAGTGTTCTGAAAGAGGCAAACTCCTGAATCTACAGGTAAAGATTTAAGATGAAGATTATGTGGAAAATAAACAAGTATAACAATAATCTGGGATGCTTAGTATAGTATTTTGATATTAATGAATTATAGGCTATTTAAAATAAAGGCTATTTTATGTAATTACAGCTCTTTCAAATAATTTTCCTTTGGTACCAGAAAGTTTCCTACTTTTAAATAGCAGTAACACTGTAAATAAGCAATATCTATTTGGAGATGGTAAACATGTAGATATTTAGAACAATTCTTCACCACTGACCTGAACTGTCAGGGAAATTATATCATGTCAGAGGCACAAAGAAGTCTATGATAGCAACATGCAGTTCCTTGCCATCTGACTAACATGACTGGTAATTTAAACACACATAAGTTTGGGGCGATATACTGGCAAAACACCAAAATAACTTATGCACACTATAAATACACAGATTAAATAGAAGAGAGTTTAAAGCATCAGTGAATATATTTCCTATCCCAGTAACTTCTCTTTATGTAAACTTTATACACACGCGTTCTTGCTGTTTTCTGTGGATGCTTCAGTCTCTTTACTTTTCACACCGGCTGCTCTGCTGGGAGGGGCTGAGCTCAGAAGCGGAGGCAGTGCCGTGGTTAGTCCTCCTCGGTGTCGTAGGCCACTTCGGCCACCTCCACTTCCGCTGCGCAGGCTCCGGGCGCTCCGGGCCGGCAGAGCGGCTGGTCCGTGGCTCTGTGAAGAGACGCGTCAGTGTCAGCGGGGTGCATGCTACACCTTTAATGATGGAAGAACACTGAAATATTAATCAGAAATGTAACGTTTTTCACGTGTCAGAGAACTTTCTGGAGATGCATTTTTAATTCCTTAGCTCTCTCAACAAACACTTATCAATAATAATTAGTAATTATCCTACAAATTTGTTGTCATAATTATAGCTCAGCCATTATCACTGAAGTATTAATAATTAACTTGGCCTTATATGCAATAAAAATTCAATGGGCTTTAAAAATATGATTGTTATTCTCGCCATGTAGGCAGGGTGCTGGCGAGTACAGTGCCCACACCGAGAATGGGAAAAGATTGACATTGTGGGAGATTTAAGTAATTTATCAGGATTTACAAAAAAATTAACTGATACACAGCCCAGTTCAACAGACAGAGCTTCATTTTCAGTGATAAGAAGATGAACAGAGAAGCCGAAACCGGTTTGGCTCAGTGGATAGAGCGTCGGCCTGCAGACTCAAAGGTCCCAGGTTTGATTCCGGTCAAGGGCATGTACCTTGGTTGCAGGCACATTCCCGGTGGGGGGTGTGCAGGAGGCAGCTGGTTGATGTTTCTCTCTTATCGATGTTTCTAGCTCTCTATCCCTCTCTCTTCCTCTCTGTGAAAAATCAATAAAATATATTAAACAAACAAACACACTGAGGGACGACGCCTGAGCCTCGTGTGTAGGACGGCCCAGAACCCACCGTCCTGTCCGCTCAGGAGGTGAGGACGCGGTGCGCAGGGAGCCCAAAGATCCCCATGGAGCCCTGGAGCACTCCCCCAATGCCAAGGCTGGGCTGCCAGGCTGACGTGCCGCACCTGCTCTCTCCACCCAGGACTTCCGGCTCAGCCCCCAGCGCAGGGGCCGCCGCCTTCGGGACGCGCTGGCCTCCGGTGCCTGACCAGGGCGGCTCCTCCCGGTCTGAACACAGCGCCCTGCAAGGGAAGACAGCCGCACGTTACCTTCTCACCACCACTCCGGCTAAGGCGCTCCCTGCGGGGCACTGAGCTCTCCTGACACCGTCAGGCCTGACGCAGTCCCCGGCTCAGGAACCGCGGCCTGGGAGGCCACAGAAACGTTAGTGCTCACGCTTAGTTTAGAACGAGTTTAGCACCGACCGATACATGGTGACGAGCAGGCAAACTGGAAGTTTGCTGTGAAAATCTGGCATACATGCCTAGAAACAGAGAGACCATTTACATAGTTAAATGAATAATGTTTATCCTGTTGAACAGATGGGGGCTTATTATCCTGTTGTTTCCCATCCTGCAAATGCTCAGGCTCCTAAATAAATAATCAGACAATTTTCTCAATCTACAAGGAAGTACGCCTGGCGCCTCTGACTTTGGGATTAGAAATTTCCTACATCCCCGAAAATACGTCTCCCCCGGAGCATTGCGAGCTGCCTGGGTCTGCTGGAAGCACAGGCACGGCAACACACCTGATTCTGCTCTCTAGCGTGTCTATACGAAGTTGCTTCTCACCGAGCAGTTTCTTCAGCGACTCCACCTCTTTCTGTTTTTCCAGTAATTCTTTCTGAAAACGGTAGTTTGTGTCCTCTAAAGTTTCGCAGAAAGCCTTCGAAACAAACAAACAAAAGTCATGTGCAGGAAAAAAAGTTAATTACGTATATAGTGTCTTTTTCAAGATCATGAGAACTCAAGGAACATGGACAATCAAGATAATAGCTTGCAGCCTGAACCGCTTGTCTGTACCTTTTCTGGTCTCTGCTAACTTAGCCCTCCGTCTGAGGAGATACGTGGTAGACCCTTCAGGGTAGAATGAAGTTACTAACACCACTGTATGTACGAGTTTTCAGTCTCCTTAGTCCATTTTTGCCACGTCCTAAGTAATTATATTTAAAAAACCTGAGGCTATTGGTTCCATTTGTATTAGTTCGGTAGCAGCAAACAGTAAATCTAAAAGAATCTACAAACTAATGAAGATTTTAATTCCTCAGCACTATTAACCAAGGATGTGACATATAAAATAAATATACAAAAATCAATAATATGAGAGCAATAAATCAGAATATAATAAAAATATCTACTATGATATAAAAATATGAGAATAAATCCTATAGCTTGTCTTAGAAGTTTAAGGAAAAAATTTAAACCTTTATTGAAGGACTTAAAAAAAGACCTAAGTAAGCAAAGATCTCCAGGAAAATTCACTCCTACAAAGGCAGCACTCTTCAGCATTATGGAAGAGCATGTAGTCAACTTAAAGAACAAGACAGGAACCCTTACCTGCCAGACACAGAGATGCCAAAGCTACAAAATGAACAAACCATGGACTAACAAACAGACCACCTTAACAAAAAACAGAGAGTGGGGGGGAGAGAGGGAGAGAGAGAAAGAGAAGGAGAGGGAGAGGGAGAGGGAGAGGGAGAGGGAGAGGGAGAGGGAGAGGGGGAGAGGGAAAGAAGGAGAGGGAGAGAGGGAGAACGAGGTAGATTCTGGATTTGAAAAGTACAATAATTGAAATGAAAAATCAGCAGCCTCTGACTTTGGGATTGGAAATTGATCCTGGAGATGTCAGATTGAATCAGTGAGCTTGGAGATGAATCAACATAGAAACTGTCCAACTTGAAGAACAAGGAAAAGAAGTGACTGAAGAAAACGAGCAGCACCTCGGAAGTACAATATGAAGTATGCAAACAGCCACGTCACAGGAATCCCAGAATGAGAAGGGTGGAGAAAGGACGGAAAACAAATCATGGCCAACAGCTTTCCAGGTCTGATGGTGAGCATTAATCTGCCAAATCCAAGAAGCTCAATGAGCCACAGTTTGATAAACACAGAGAGCCGTACCCCAGTCCGTCATAATAAGCTGCTGGAAGTCAGAGAAACAAACCGCCTGGAGAGCAGCAGGGGCACCGTGACCGGGTGCGCGGAGGAGCGCCGCCAGAGCCACAGGCAGCCGGCCACCGGGAGCACGGCGCCAGAGGCACAGGGTGACACCGCACACCGCGGAAAGCCCTGTCACACTCCCCGCTTCAAAACAGCCTCCTCAGAAGAATGAAGCCTGGGATTTGCTGCCACAGACCTGCCTTACGAGAGAGACCACATGAAAGCCCCGGAGCTGAAAGGAACGACTGACACCAGACGTAACACCGACCGCAGGAAGGAAGCAGTAAGTCTGAGGAAAGACGGAAAAGTGTGCAAATGTTCTTTCTCATGTCTTCTCTTAGGTCCTTCCAAAGACCAAAGACTGTGAAAAGAAATAATCCCTGCGCTGTACTGTCAGGCAGAGGTTATAAAATATACAACAGCAGAGGGAAAGGCAAAGAGAACAGTCTGGAGCCAAGCGATTAATTCCTTGGAATTAAGCTCTATTCTGAAGTAGACTGCGTTAAGATGAGCACTATAATACCTCGAGCAGACACTAAAAAATAATGAAGAAATAACTAAGAAAAACATAAAAATGTCTACAGAGGAATCAAAATGGCATACTTATCTGTTTCACACAATTAAATGAGGCAGCTAAGGGGAAGAAGACCCAAACCGATGAGAAAGAGGAAACAAACTGCAAAACAGCAGATGTAAAAGGCAGGTATGTCAGAGCGGATAAAAGACCAACACCCACCCACATGCGATGTGCGACAGACAGATTTGAGAGTGACAGACAAACAGCTTAAAGCGAGGGATGTGAACGGCAGCCGTGAGAGAGGCAGTAATAGGACTGTGGTGTCGCCAGTAGGACAGGGAACTAGATCAGTGAAGAAAATTAAAAGTCCTTCTATTTCCATTTGACGTTTGATGAAAGTTTCAACACAAATCAGTCAAGGGAGTGACACAATTAGGTATCGATAGGAACTTAAGACTCTTACCTCACACCTTACAAAAACAGCGTGGAGCTGGGCCAGAGACCTAAACTATAAGACGTCTAAGAAAAAAAGTAGGAAAACAAATCTTTGTGACCCTGTACTAGGTGAAGAGTTCTTATGATACAACACAAAAAGCATAAGCCATAAAAATAAAAATGAACTTCATTAAAATGAAAAAACATTAACACTTCAAAAGACCAATAAGAAGATAAAAAGATACATACAGACTGGAAGAAAATATTTATAAATGATGTATCTGATAAAGGACCTGCCTCCAAAATAAAGAACTCTTACAACTCAATAAGACAAACTAAAAAAATGGGCAGAAGGCGTAAGTAGACAAGTCACCAAAGAAAAGATGAATGACTAAAAAGTGATCAACATAAAAACATAATATTTCATCAATGCGCTTGTCAGAGACGCGCTGGCCTCACTCCTCGCTCTGCAGCCAGCCTCTCTTCCACTCTCTCCGCACACACGTGGTACAGGCCACGTGCAGGCAATAGGGAGTGGGCAGGATGGAGGAGGCTTGCTCTGCTGAGAAGGGCAGACAGCTCATCTTGAGACACTTGGAGCCTATGGGAAGGGAGACCCAGTGGCGCCAGCTCTACTGATCTTTCAAGATGAGCTGGGATGTAAATTTTAAATGTAAAATCACCCTAATTTTTAAAGCCTAGAAAAAAAGAAGGAAAAATTATTTGTGAGGAAACTGGAACTTCATACACTACCGGAGGGAATGTAAAATGGTAGACATTTTAGGAAACACTTGCAAGTTTTTTAAAAAAGTTAAACATAATTTGCCATATAACCAAACATTCCTCTCCTAGGAATCAACTCAAAAGAAATGAAAGCATAAGTCCTCACAAGACTGTTCCAAACAGCGCAAAACTGGAAACAGTCCCACTGTCCCTCTGTGGTGTATTATACAAAGTAAACCACTCAGTAACGAAATATTGATCGAGGCTATAGCACAGATGACTCAAAAACATTTTGCTAAATCAGTGGTCGGCAAATTGCATCTCGCGAGCCACATGCGGCTCTTTGGCCCCTTGAGTGTGGCTCTTCCACAAAATACCATGTGCAGGTGCACACACACATATAGTAGGACTGAAACTTCGTGGCCCATGCGCACAGTTCGGCTCCCAAAAGAAATTTCAATCGCTGTACTGTTGATATTTGGCTCCCCTGACTAATGAGTTTGCCAACCACTGTGCTAAAAGAAACTAGATGCAAATATTATGTGTTTTTATATATAATGTATAAAATGTTATAAATACTGTACATATAAATTATATAACTGAACACTGATCTTATATAGGCACACACACATACATACATATATATAGCGTGACTGTATTTATATGAAATATCCAAAAAAGGCAAGTTTGCGAGTGAAAGCAGACCAGCGCTGTCAGGGGCTGGGGACAGACTGACTGAACAGCTGTACGATTTTCCAGGTGATGGGAGTTTCTGAAACTGCATTATGGGAGAGCTCTAAAAATGTACTAAAATTATTAAATTGTACATTCACAGTGGAATAGCAAATAGCAACTTTTATGGATAAAGACTTCAATAAAGCTGTTTCTAAACAGCCATGGTATTCACTCTAATACAAAGAACTGACTCAGTTTAATTGAAAACATTACAAACCTACCAATTAAATCTGTTCCACTTAAGCACCATTAAACATTTGGGGAAAAACTTAGAGAAAAATTTTAGCTAATCTATTATTACCAAATCTGCTGGGATAATCTAGCCAATTGCTTCAAGAAATAGGCCACTTTACCACGTCAATTAGTGTAATCTGAGCAGCATCAAGCTCGGCTGAACTGATAAGAAGACAATACCTTCTCCCTCTGAAAGTGAGCTTTCGCTTTGATTTTCACTGTAGGTTCTGGACTTTGATACTCAGATGGAAGAAAAGTCAACATACAAATAGCCCTTTTAAGTGCAGTAAAACAAATTTGCAAATAATTTTTTTTTGAAGCAGTAAAAATAGAGGATAAAATGCAGGACTTTGTTTTAGAGTACACTGATGATGCGACATGTATGAGTTTTATGTTTTCACTGAAGCAGGCCCATGCATTTCATTGAAAGAAACCTCTGGCTCAAACACCAGAAAGCTTTCTGTGCAAAACCGCCCCGGTATGAGTTATGATAGCCGCCGTTTGCTATTCCCTCCCAGGATACCGCATTGCTGTGCTGAGCTATCGTCCTCTCTCCATGAACAGGGAACACGGCACTCACCCTGCTTTCCTCCAGGCTATCGAATGGCCCCGGTGGATCGTCCAGACAAAGGAACTCCCTCACCGCCAGGCTTTTCAGAGGGAAAGGACAATTAGCCGGGGTACAAATAAGTTTACAAAGACCGCAAAAAGCAAGTGACTTTGAAGTTATACAGTGTTTTAAGCAAGTGGCTGCTGATATACCAAAATAAACTAGCTGTGTTACGTGGCTTCATACAAGTAATCAAACTTAAACATAAAATATATAGAAGCTGCAGAGATTTCAAACTATTTTCTAAGATCTTATGATCATACATAGAGATGGGGAATTTATGCTACTTAAAAACTATAGGATAGCCGAAACCGGTTTGGCTCAGTGGATAGAGCATCGGCCTGTGGACTGAAAGGTCCCAGGTTTGATTCTGGTTAAGGGCATGTACACTGGTTGCGGGCACATCCCCAGTAGGGGGTGTGCAGGAGGCAGCTGATCAATGGTTCTCTCTCATCGATGTTTCTAGCTCTCTGTCCCTCTCCCTTCCTCTCTGTAAAAAAAATCAATAAAATATATTTAAAAAAAAAACAAAAACCCTACAGGATATAAAACATACTTTGGAAAAATGCTAAAGGGACCAATCTAAGTGGTGAATAGATAAGAGATGGTATATTTTCAAAGGAATGTCAGCTGAAGCAGTCTAAAAAGGCATTACCCAGTTAGGAAGAAATACTATTCTAAGTTACATGTCACTTGTTTCTTTTTAGGAGATACACCTACAGTAACATCTCAAGTATCGATATTTACTCTGAAAAAAGTTAAGAACTTTCTTGCAATCTTTTTTGTTATATTAATTTACTTCAAATATTTTTCCTTAAAGAGTTCAAGGGAAAAGTACTGACCATGCCATTGCTGAATTACCATTAACTTTTGAAATAATGAAATATGGTATTGCTATGTTTATACTCTGGAATTATCAGAAATAGGTTAAGAGTGTAGGAGATAAAGCTCCCTTTTTACAAAAATAGTCCACTCTCTAAAAGCAATTTTGGATAGAGACAACTCTGTGCATGTTAAAACATAAATTGGATATTTACCTTTTAAGGCATAAAGGACAGGAATGTAATTTCTAATGCGCTTTATAAAGGAGATGCTGACCTATGCTGAAAAGGGAATGGGGACTGTGGGTTCGGTTCAGGCCAGATAAGTTGATGATGACAGGAATGGCCATAAAGAGAAAAATGGAATTTTTAGTGAAATCTTTCCAAAGAAAAACAACATGAATTAATACAGAGGAGTAGTGTCAAGAAAGCAATCCAGAAGATCTGAAAGAGCAAAGTTCTGGGCTGTAAAATCGTGACAATATAATAAAACAAAGACACACAGTCAAGGAAACAGGAAGCTGGAGGTCCCATACCCAGGGAAGAACAGAGACAGAAGGGATCTTAATGTGGTGGAGCTCTGAGCTCCATGGCTTGCTTTCCATCCCTTTAACATGTTCAGCCAAGAAACACGTCCCGAAATGGGGACTAATCCATCCTCTGTTTGAACCACTGAAACTTATCCCTTCCCTGAGCTGCGACTTGCCTCCTGGCAGCTTCTATTCAGGAGTCAGTTCTGCTTCTTGGGACCCTTTAAGATAAATCTAAGTCCTCTTTCACATGATAACCCTAAAATATGTCAACGGTGTTATAGTTTCTCTAGCCTCAGTCTCCACAAAGCAATACTGATACACTAACATTTCCTCTCCTTTTTCTTATCACAAACTTAATTGACTACTTAAAGCTTACAGGGTCTCTGCATTCATGAAGCCAACATTTTTTCCCAGATTTATTGAGGTGTAATTACAATGCACACATTTAAAATGTACACCTGGATTTGATATAGTATGCACATGCTGTGGGTGGTAATCAAGCTAATTAACATTTACATTACCTCACATTTCCCAAGTACACTGTACACATAGGGCAACGTATCTTATTTTATTTAATTTTCACAACAATCATGTACAGTGAGGATAGGCACTCTTTCCACTTTTACAAATGATACCCAAGTTCAGAGGGAAAATGACCCACTCAAGGTCACACAGCACGGCAGCTCTTAAATCTCTTCTGAGTATAAACATGTGCCTTTTCTATCTTTAAATTCTCTTCTTTTTTGGTTCACTTGGATTCTCTGCCCTTGCCAGGTACCTCTCTCACCACGCTCAACCAGCCTGTCCCTCGTTGATGGAGGTTTAGAGAAAGGAAGGAAGGAAAGAAAGGAGAGGGAGGGAGGGAGGTAGGTTTCTGGAACACTGCCGGTGATCTGACAGCACGGAGAACAGGACCACCTTCGTTTTTTGGTTTAGATATTATACTTCCCACCTGCCCTTTATTTCTATTGGAAAACCATCTATTAGGCAGAAATGAGCTACAGGAAATGAATTATCTTGAGATTGAGAAGTCAAAAGTTTGGATGAAACCCTGAGATAATGGCTTTTACGATTGAAAAGCAAAGTGCTGAGCAGTGTGGGGAGGGGCCTTTTAATACTTTCGGTGTTTGACAACGTAATGTGAGTCATCATTTTTTCATGGGCCTAGACCCCGGATGTCCTCATCCTTTAGTAACAGTTTCATGTTCACAGATTTCTCTAATGACTGGAAAGCTGCTGGAGGAAATGAAAACGTGGTAAGGGGATTCACGTCTCTTTTTATACCTTTACTTTATAGTAGCAATTCAGCCAGGACCAGCAGTGGTGCACAGGGACTTGGATGTAGGAATCTGTTTGTGGAGGTTTTCCATTTCATTCTCCTTCCCTAGAAATCCTCACGACCTAGGGCTCACAGAGCTCTGCTCAGATCAAACCCAGTGGACTCCCTAAGTTTTTTTTAACATCACCTGAGGATATGTTTATTGATATTTTAGAGAAAGAAAGGAAGGAAAGAAAGGAGAGGGAGGGAGGGAGGGAGGGAAATTTTTTCCATGGACAGGTTCAACTCCATCCCTAATCTCGCTCCTGTGCTCAGCCCTTTACCGGGCGCTTCTGCTGGAGCTGATGATGGAGTCAGCCAGGCACCAGGACAGGGGACCTGACCGAGGGGACCCCAACACCTGGAACTAAAGGGGACAAGCTCAGCAAGGCCGGCCCCTTTTGTTACCTAGGGCAGCGGTCGCCCACCGGTGGTCTGTGAGACCTGAAAGGCTGGCGACCACTGACCTAGAACCTAGAACCATCTTCGGACTGGGAACCGGAGGTAAATCAGGCCCAGTGCTGCCTCCCGGCCTGGAGAGGAGCCACCGGTGGCCTCCTCCAGCCTGGCTTATCATCCGGCAAATGTGTCTTAACTTAAACTCTTCCTCCGAGCCTCTTAAAAGTCTTACTGTGTTTTCAAACTTCTTAAAAAACTGCTTCTTCTAGTGAACCTTCACCTTCTATTTGTGCTTTATTTTCCTTTTCTTTCATAGGTATGTATCAGTTTACATCTCACAATTAAAAAAAAAAGCCCATGATTTAATAGCTAAATGTGCTCTTTATCCTAAATATTATACTTTAAAAATAAAATACACCCCTAAAATAATGCTGACAATTCATTAAGAGGTCAATTAAAAATTAGGTAGAAAAATGTACTAAAAATACTAGATATTCTGTCAAAACAAGATTAGGCACCAAAGACCACTGCATGAAAATATTGAGGGATTTCAGACAGAAGTATCAGTTTGCATTTCCCATTATTCTCCACAGTCAAAGGAGATATTTTTAAAACTGACATTAACCACCACCCTGAGGATTGGCATAGGGCTGGTGACATTGGGGTCATAGGGTGGGAGCTGGCTTGAGGGTGCGGAGCTCACGTCTGGCTTTCCATGGGGCCGGTTCAGACCTTGGTTATCTCACCTGGTCACTCTTAGCCCATGTGTGCCCCGGTGCTCAGCCTTATTCCTTCTAGTCCAGAACCGTCCTCCAAACCCCAATGCTATCTCGAACCCAGAGAAAGCCCACCCAGCCTCCTGTAGCAAGAGGGAGCACACCAAGACCCGGTGTGGCACAGAGCACCGCGGGTGCGGGAGAGCCAGGCCTGAGGAAGTTTTTGGGCGCTGAAGGATGTACGGAGTTGTCTAGGCCAGGGCTGGATGGGCAGGAGTGTGAAACACTGCCTCTCCAGGGAGGCCTAAGGGACAATGGAGAAAGGTGACTGTGCTGACGGACAGAGGATGACAACAAAACACAAAGTCAGAAAGACAGGCGGGGAGGCAAGGAGCAGGAGGAGACAAACTGCATTACACCACGGTGCTGCCAAAGGCACAGGAGCCGAGCGGATGAGGGAGACCAGGGGAAGCTTCCGCAATAAGCAAGGTGATACCGACACTCACAGTAACTCGGTGCTGATGGAGGGCTGGGGGACAGCATACAGAGTTGAGTGGAATTTAAAACATAAACGAAGAGATAAGGGGCTTTGGGTAGACAGCTGCTGGGGGGAATTCTAGAGTCAGCTGTTACTCTGTTTTCAGTTCAGGTCACTTGTGAGATACCAGTTGTCGAGGAGGCAACTGCATGCAGACCTGAGCGGCGTTCCTTTCTTAAGGAAAGCGCGGGCGGTGGGCAGAGGCCTCAGGCAGCCATCGCGCCTGGCCGCACGCACTAAGCAGCACGCTGTGGGTTACGTTTACCAGGTGATATAAAAAACGGAGAAAAAAGGGTAGACCAAGTGAGACAGGATGGCTTTCTTGCCTCCCATCCTTATGCGACAAACTATTACAGTAACAGACACAGGTATCTGTATATGCTATCGCTGCCTTGCAAATGCTACTTTTTTTCAAAATAGTTTTAATTTACTTGATAATTTAAGTTCCAAAATTAGATACTCAGCTGGTATTAAATCACAAGGCCACTTTCTTTTATATTGAGAAGCAAAAACCCAGATAGATCCTTTCTCTCCCTTTATAATGATTTTTGGTATTTCCGATTTCTCTTCCATATAAATTAACCCAATTTCACAATTTTCATATTTTTATATTACTTTGAAAAACATAGAATATATTACTCTAAAAATTATATAGTGTCATATTAGCAAAAAATGTGAAGGCCACTTAAAGTGATTGCTAAAATACTAAAAACTAAAAATCCAGTTAACAGTTGAGTGGTCTGAATAGATGATATGCTGAATTTTTAACTTCGCTGACTTTGTGAAAGTGTTAATACAAATCAAACACCATATAAAGTCCTTACTGAAAAAAAGCAAGAGAATTCCAGGCAGTGTTTGTTAGTGGACAAGTAATTATACTTATTTTATAAACTTTGTTCCCCTGTGCATGGTCCTAGGCTTGTTCTTTGGTTTTAACTAGTGCTGAAATGCATTTACAGCCTCTTATTTCAGTGTTACATACCAGTGCGCAACGTCCTTGTGAGCCACTAAATTTTGAAGAAATGCTTGCAATCCTAATTTTCTATCTTCTAAAAAGTCGGCGTTGTAATTATCTTTAAACCAGCGTTTTGGTGGAAGAGCTAATCGAAAGCCTGGAAACATCTCTTTTAACTGAAAAAGAAGAAAAAAAGAATATATATTGTTCAACCTCGTTATACCAAGTCCACAAAATCTACCCTGTTGACTAGGTGCAACTGTTCATGAAATAAGCTTAAAACAAAAGAACTGAATCCAGCAAAGCTTTCTGCTCCTTGTTTAACTTCTTGATTCTCCCACTTGTGTGTACACATGAGTACCAGTTGCTCCACCTCCTTGCCAACACCTGCATTGTGCATTGTCTTTTTAATGGTGGCCATTCTAGGGGTGTGAAGTAGCGGTTTTCACTTTGGCTTTGATGTGCAGGCTCTGCTGACAAATGGTGCTTATGTGCATCTGTACTAGCATATCTTCTTTGGTGAATTATCTATTCATATCTTTAGACCCTTCACTTTTTAGAAAAAAATTTAGTTATTTGTATTTTTATTAAGTTGTAAAAGTTCTTTTTATACACCAAATATATGTCCTTTATCCTATGTATGACACATATTTCTCCCAGATTGTGACCTATTTTAACACTCTTCACCGAGCATGTTTAAAATTTTAATGTTATCGAATACATCCACTTTTGTCTTTTATGGGTCATGCTTTTTTAGATCCTAAGAAATCTTTGCTCACTTGAAGGTTGCAAGATATTCTTTTGTTTTCTCCTGGACATTTATAGTTTTAGTTTCTACATTTTGGTTTATGATCCATTTTACATGTTTGGCTTAAATTTTACTTTCTTAGGGAGAAACTTTTCCGAACTGCTAAGCTGTGTTAGATTTGCCTTTATACATTCTGGTCAAGTAACTAACTGTGTAACAAGTCACCTCAAAACACAGTGCCGTAAAAGAACCATCTATTAGGCCATGGAATCTGTGGGCACTTAAGGCTGGCTTATCTCCGTTCCACAAGAGCTGGGAACTCAGCTGAAGAGCTGAGGGTAGGAGCTGGAATCAACTGAAGGTCATGCCCGCATGTGTAGAAAATGATGCTGGCTGCGGGCTGAGACCTTGTGTGGTATCAGCCACCATCTTAACGTGGAATGTCTTGGACTTTCTCACAGCACAGAGGCTGGGCCTCAAGGGGGAACATCCCAAGACAGGAAGTCAGGATGAAGCTGTGTGCTTCAAATGACCTGGCCTAGACAGGCAGCATCAGTGCCTCTTTCCTTTATTGGTTGAGTAGCACAAGGGCACCAGGTTCAAGGGAAGGGGATACAGATTAACCCCTTGATGGTCAGTGGCAAGATTCTGGAAGAGCATATGGGACTGAAAGTATTGCTGTGAACATTTTTAGAAAAAACGACCTACCACAAGTTTGCAAATCACCAACTTATTTTTGAATGCCATTTATCACAATGTACAATAAATAGGTTTATTTAATTTTGGACTCTCCTAGGCCAGTGATTCTGAACCTCGGCTGCACACTGGAATCACCCAAGGAGCTGTGAAAGGTATTAATGACTACGTCCTACTAACAGGTTTGCATTTAATTAGCTGGGTGTGGCCTGGTAACTAATTTTAAGAAGCCTCTGGGGAAGTCCAAAGGACATCTGAGGTTGAAAGCCACGTGACTGCTCTGCGATGATTTTGTCATACTCACTGCTGCATCTCTCATGCTCAGCATGGTGCCGGCTGCACTATAGCAGTCAGTAGTCTATGTTCTCTAAGTGCGTGAACGACATAAAACCATGTACATTCATGTTTCTGTTCTTAAATGTAAAACTAAATGCCACAAGGAAAGAAAAGAGTGACCAAAGGGAAAAATCCACAGCATAAAATGTTAAGTAAAAACATAAAAAATCATGTTTTGTCTATATTTCTATAAATATGTGAAGATAAAACAAACAAGACAAAAACCGGAAAGCAACCTGGACTATTGAAAACTTTGATTTGATTTCAAGATGTAATTAGATATTTTTGGTCCTGGAATTTTATTATTTAATGTTGGTAGTGAAAATAATAAAAATCGTGAAGAGGAAATAAAAAGTCTTTTTTATTAAGTTTGAGCATTAAAATTTAAATGTCCCATATGACCACATGCATATTATACTTAGGCATTTTTCCTCCTTAAAAATTATCCTTAGAGGAAGAAGAGGTCCCACAATTAACTCCTCACAAAGTGTTTATATTATGGGTACTGTGTATTATACATTATGGGTAATTAACAACTTTATTTTGAATAAAGTACTATTTGGAAACTATACATTAGCTTAAAATAACTTGAATAAATGCTATTTTTTAATCTTTTATTATATTAAAACAACACATTTCCTGCAAACATGACATCATAACAGGCAGTTGATGTTTCTATAAACGAATCTCCAAAAAGGACCCATGACTTCTGCCCTGTGCCGCTGCTGTGATTGCACCAATTTCTCAGTACAGGGATTCTGCAGCTGTAACTGGCTTCGCTGGTGCTGACCTGGGCACAGGGACATTATCTGTGAGCCTAATCTTATCTCAGGAGCACTTGAGGTTGAGCTTCCTTGTGCTGGTGCATAGGAGAAAGTCTGAGATGCCAGCAGGAGGCCCGGGCTCCCAGCCACTGGCTGGGAAGCCGGCAGCCGCACAGGGCCTGAGAGAGCGAAGCAGCACCTCTGGCTGACAACCAGCCAGGACGCAGGGACTCAGCCTTACAATGAGAAAGGGAACTCTGCCAAGGCCTGAATGAGCCTGGAAGCGGAGTCTTTCCTGGAGCCTCCAGCTAGAGTCCAGTGGAGCCAAGAGCTTAATACTGAGCCAGCGGAGCCCACTCAAAGCACCCTGGGTAATAAACAGGTGTATCATAATTACATTTGTGTTAATAAGGTTAAGATTTTCACATTTTTAGATTTTGTTTTCATAAAAGAAAGTTATGTGTAGAGATGGGCCTTCAAGCTATTAAAGTGAAATGAAATGGTATTTTCTTAGAAACTAGGCAAAAGGTTGTCTTCATTTAAATAATTCACAAGAAAGAAAAAACACAAATATAACAGACAAACTGTCCGAAACAGATAATAATTCAAAACCGAAAAGCTGGTTTTAGATTTGTTAAGTACTTACTTTATCATTAAGCCTGGAGAAGTCAGTGTATCTTCTGAAAACTACCCAGCTTTCTTCTGGGTTTTTCTTCACTTGTATCTTATATACCTACGAGGGGGGAGAGTTAGAGATACATGTAAAGATACTTAAACATTCAAATCAAATATCTAAAAAACTTTTACTCGACAATCTAAGTCCTAACGATTACTATGTAAAAAATATCAGAAATGATTTAAAACGTGAAATGTACAAATATTTGATGTAGGCACCAAAAGCAAGGGAAACAAGACTATGATAAATTTGTAGCAAAATGCCATTTTTGGTGCTGACTAATAATAAGTGAACTTATCAGTTTCCAAATATATTTTATGCCACATATTTTAAAACTAATAAAAAGAATAACTAATGCTTAAAAAAGTTATGAAACACAGCCACTCTTGTCTTATACAATCAAATTAATTTTAAACTCAGCACTTCAAGGCAAAGTTTTGAAATTTGATGTTTTAATTTTCAGAGCTGAAATACAAGCTAAAATATATCCACATTAGATAAAAGCTTACATTTCTATAATTATGCATAATTATCTAGGCTAGTGAATAGAAAAACATGTTTGAAGCATGTCACTATTTTACAAAGTTTACAGTAAGAAAGGCTAGATTCTATTTTTCATGAGTATAATTTCAGAGTTTATTATAAGGAAGTACTTTTTATAACAGAATCTCGAGGAAAGGGTGTAGTTTCTGGTACAGTATTTTGGGCCAAGCTATGAAGACGACAACATCTGCCAAATGACTGACACTCTCCTAAAGGGTAACGTGTCCTGAAGTGGGCTGTGCACTCACTCTCCACCGCGGCTCTGAAGCTGCACTTCAGCGTGAGGCTACTGACCACTGAACGTGACCAGTCCACGTCGACAGGGCTGACTGTACAGGCCGCACACCACCCTGGAGTCTCCCCTTACAGACTGACTTCTCTTTCGGCTTTTAAGGGGAGAACATCAAGGGTTACGGATGAATCCTTTATGAAGTAAAACACAAGTAATTTATCTGTGCCACATATAAAAGTGAGGAGCCTTTAAAGTGTCCAGAAAGTCCTGATCTGAGATAATCCTAAGGGGAATCAAAGGTCATAATGCCTGGCACTCAACAGGTACTCAAAAAATGTTAAATCAATGTCTAAATGGACAGGACTAATCTTGTATCCGTTCACACTCTTTGAGGTCTTGGAAGACTTTATATGCCACTGCCTTAAATTTGCATTTTCACACATCACCTCAATGAGTCAATGAGAGATTATGAACCGTGGAGTTTATTATAATTTCGAAAATCACTCTAAAAAAGGTCAGGCCCGACTGGCTTGGCTCAGTGGTAGAATATCGACCTAATGAACCAAGAGTCCATGGTTTGATTCCCAGAAAGGGTGCATACCCGGGTTATGGGTTCGATCCTTATCGTGGGGTGTACAGGGGGCAGCTGATCAATGATTCTCTCTCATCATTGATGTTTTTATCTCTTCCTCTCCTTTCCTCTCTGAAATCAATAAAAATATAGTAAAAAATTAAAAAAACAACATCAGGTTCATGAAGATTTCTCTAGACATCATTACTCTTAAGATAATTTAATTGTAAAGATGGTTTCTTCATGAATTTTCTGAAGCAAGAAATGGCATACACATATTGAGGTATGGTAGCAATCATCTCAGGTAGAAACTGCAGTTTTAACTTTAACCCTGCTGTTTAGTTTCTGTATTTATTTGCTTGTTACAACAATAGAAAAGTTATTTTGATTTTCTGAACTTATGTATGCTATCCCAATCGATTGAATACTCCATGGTTGGCGGTTTGAATATCCCACTGATTGTGACCTTACTGGTTATCGAAGCACATTGTTCTGTACCAGGAACTTACCTGGGAACCAGGACAGCACAATTACCCTAAATTGCCTCAGTGGCTACAGATAGTGCGTTCCGGTTGACCCAGTGGTCTCAAGACCGGGACACCACAATTATTCTAAATTGCCTCAGTGGCTCCAGATAATGTGTTTCAGTTGACTCAATGGTCCCAAGACCCAAAACTATAATTAATCTTTATACATAACTAACTTGCTCAATTTTGCTTCTGTAATTGCTTTGTGCAAACCAGGTTCCTCATTCCAAACCCAAAGCTGTAATTGATACCTTTATGACATTCTACTATGTAAGCCAGAGAAGCAGCATTTCGGGCTGTGAGAGCTGGAGCGCTGTTGCCTCTTGTAGCCTCGTAGCCACCGGCTTTTGAATAAATGACTCCATAATCTGACTTTTTGAGGCGTCCTTTGTGAGATTCAGGGTACTCTACAACAATATAAACTCTACCTCAAGGAAATCCAAGAGAAAGAACAAGCTATTTCAACTGATATGCGAATTAGCAAAGTTGCTGTATACATACATAACCGGAAAAATACAAAGTATCAAAGAAAAGAAAAAAAAGAAAAAGCAATTGAGAATATCCAACACCCACAACTACACGTGAATCTAACCAAAAGATGGCAGACCTCTGCCCTGAACACCACAGAGAGTCATTATAAAAAAACAAATGACGAGGTAAATGGACTGAGTTCACAGATTCAAACTCAGTACTGTAAGATGTCAGTTTTGCCAGTTGGTCTGGGTTCGACCCAATCCCGAGGCCCAGAGCAGCCAGTCCTGAGAGCACCACAGCTGGAGCACGAGGCGCCAGGCAGCAAGGCCTACCGGAAGCTTTCGTAATCAGGGCTGTGGCGCCCAAAGGCGGGGAAATGGGACCCGGAAACAGACCACACTTTTATGGTCATCTGATCTGTATCAGAAGCAACATGCAAATGCGGAGGAGAAGAGTGTCTTCTCGGTAAAAGCCTGCTCACTGGAACTCACACGGAGGAAGGAGGTCTGACCCTGCCTCACAGCATGGAAAACACTTAATTCCTGATGGTTTTCAGATCTAAGTACCAAAGGTCCGACAATAAAGCTTTCAGAAGAAAACATAGGGCATTGTCCAGAGGGAGTAGGCAGATTTTAAAAAGTGCTGACTACATAAAAAAAAAGTTAATAGGCTGGACTATATTAGAAGTAAGAACCTTTATTTATCAAATACATCATCAGGGAGTGAAAAGACAAAGCAGGGAGTGAGATGATATGATACATGTTCTGAAAAAACTTATGTCCAAAATGCATAGAAAACTACAAAGTAAAGTGGAAAAGGCTTCCCCACAGAAAAATGAACAAAGACCTTGAACAGACCCTTCACAAAAGAGAATATCCAAATGGCCAAAAATACCTTCAATTTAATTAGTCATTAAGAAATGCAAATTTAGACCACAATGTGATATCACTCTACCCATTAGAATCGCCAAAATGAAAAAGATGGAAAACACGCTATGTTGGGAAGGTGTGGAGTAGCTGGAACTCTCATGTAAGCCTACGAGAGTGTAAATTAGTACCACCTTTCTGGCACATTGTATCTTCTAAAGCTGGGTATATGGTCCAGCAAATTCAATCCGTGGCTGATATCCAACAGAAATGCATCTATGAGTTGACTGAGTGACAAGCACTAAAAGGTTCATAGCAGTCATATTTCCAAGAGCCTCAAACTGCTAATTATCCAAGTGCTCTGCAACTGGAGGATGGATCAACATTCACAGATAGGAATAGTATCTGTACTAATAATAGAGGGATATGCAAATTGTCCAGATGCCGTCACAGTAATGACCAAACAACTGAATAGCAGGCTGTGTGGGGCGACCAGGCCGGCAGGCAGGGGCGTTAGTGAGGGACGACCAAACTACTGAACAAGCAGGCTGCGTGGGACAACCAGGTTGGCAGTGGGGTGAGTGAGGGACAATCAAATGACTGAACAGCAGGCTGTGTAAGGTGGGGGAGGGGGCAGTTGGGGGTGACAAGGTTGATAGGTGGGGGGGGGGGCAGTTGGGGGACCAGGTTGATGGGGAGAGGGGCAGTGAGGGGTGACAAGTAAGGGGTTACTAAGCCAGCGGGGTTGGGGGTGGGGAGTTGGGGGTGATCAGGCTGGCAGGGGGCAGCAGTTGGGGGCAACCAGGCCAGCAGGGGTGGGGCATAAGGGACAACCAGGCTGGTGGGATATGGAGGAGGTAGTTAGGGTAGATCAGGCCAACAAGCAGAGCTGGTTAGGGGTGATCAGGCTGGCAGGGGAGGCAGCTGGGGCATCAGGCAGGCAGGCAGGCAGGCAGATGAGCATTAGGAGCCAGCAGTTGTGGATTGTAAGAGGGATGACCGAATGTCTGTTTAGCCCCTATCCTGGGGATTGGGCCTAAACCGGCAGTTGGACATCCCCTGAGGGGTCCTGGACTGGAGAGAGTATAGGCTGCACTGAAGGGAACCCTGTATTTCGTGCACCGGGCCTCTAGTCAGTAATAAAAAAGTGCTACCTAGAATTCCATGCAAGGTCAAGGAGGAGTCTCACAAGCACAATGCTGACTTACGTAAGGTACAGACATAGGCAACATTAAAGTAGCCTGTCACGAGAGAGGGTGCTGACTGGAGGAGAGTTTGGTGCTGGTTCTGGATGCTAGTTACGTTTCTTTCCTGACCTTTGTGCTAGTTTCAGATATAAATCTGGTTTTGTGCCAATTCATTCAAGTAAGACAAAAGTTCCCTACAATGACAGAATTTAAGAGTGTACAAACCACTTGAATCTCCTCTTTAAGAAATGACAAGTACATACTAACATCAATCGATTTAACACAAGTGTAGAATAGGGCGAGTCAGTCTGGTGTGCAGAAAGGTCGATACTCACAGTAAATTTCGCCCTTTCTTCCATCACCTCATAGCCCAGAATAGTGGGAGTCGAAGGCCTATCTTCCAAATCTGCTGTTTCAGGATTCTGTTCTTCACTCTCTCTTGGTCTGGTGGAATACTCAATGCAAGAGTCTGCATTTATAAACTTAGTCCTGAGGAGGGGGCTGCTGCAGACGGAGGAAGCGCTGTCCCCCTGACCGGGGGCACTGGTCTGTTTCATGGTTCCTGTGTGTGAGTCCTCCAGCTGGCCTCTGGAGGAGTTCGAGCTTGAGATGCTCCCCAAAGAGGAACTTCTTTGGTTCCTGCTGGTTGCGAAGCTGGCAGCAGAACTCCCTATGGGCATGGGCACTGGGACATAAGGAGTTGCCATTTTCTTTGGGGCTTTGCCACAAATCTGCAAACTGCTGAGGCCACGCACTTAGAGAACAACTGGTGTGCAATCCATTATTTTCTTCTTGGGAGTTTGCTATCTAACCATGAGAAGAACATATTGAAAGATGGGTTTTAATCTGCAGCATTATCCAAAAGAAAACATGGTGTTCATATCCGTTTCTGTTAATTTTGTGGCATTTTATTGGAATGAAAACAGGCCCCAAATCTCTTCTTTTAACTGCACAATGTCAGCGCTAGGCACTCTCATTTGCAAGGCAAAGAAAGCAGAACTACTCCCACCCTTTTTCTCACTCTATTTCTTTGGGACAGATTTTTGCAAAGTTTATTTCAACCTTCCTGAGGCTATATTTTCTGCTTCCAGTCCAGACAGTACTATACAGGGCACAGGGAGGGAAGGAAAATTATTCACATCACCTTTTGACTTAGTGAAATTCTAAAAACAAAACAAAACAAAAAAACCCACCTAAACTAAAGGAATAAAGTGAGCCAGAAGCTCAGATGCTACAAATATCAACTGCTCTTCAAGTAATAGGTCATTAAGCTCTGGATCGAATGCATCTGAGAAAACACCACAAACTTGGTCAAATTAAATCCAATAAGCCTCCAACGAACATGAAACGTATGGATTCAAAGTTTCAATGTTCTTCCGAGTTCCCGGATACCCACCGGCTCTCTGTGCCATATGCTGAGGGACAAACCCTTCTTTACAGCGCGCACTCTGACGTCTGCTGTCAGCAGACCTAGCTGATCTTATCTCAGAATTTCATAACAACCGAAGAAAGTTTATTTAATCACTAAGATGTCAAATAAGCTGAGAGCCGGTGGCAACTGCAGGCCAGCGAAGTGACAGCTGCGGGTCTGCCTGTCGGAGGCCACGGGCAGCGGTGAGAAAAGTGGGGACGGGGCCGAAGTGCGAGTTTCAGCCCAGCACGTGGCTGCGGCAGCCGCCCCGCCCCGCCCCGCCCGCGGTCAGGACCCGAACACAGCAGTGCCCGGTCCCTCCGGTCCGCAGCCTTCCCCGCCCCCGGCCCGCCCGGCGCCCGCCCGGAGGCCGCGGACCCGGAGGACGCGGCGCCGCCGCCCGCACGGGCGCTCCCCCGCGCGGTCCCCCGGGCGCCCGGACCCACCCGGAAGCCCGCGGGCAGGTGCGGGGCGAGCGGAGCCGCCGGCCGGTGACAGCCGTGGGCGTGAGGACAGCGGGGACGCCGGGCGCAGCCCGCCCCACCGGGGTCCCGGGCCCCACGACGGGCGCGCCCTCGCCGCCCTGCGGGGACCGCGGCGCCCTCCCTCCCGCGAGCCCGCCGCCCGCCGCCCGCCGCCCGCCGCCCGCCACGGGCGCAGGTGTCCCCGCGCCAGCGCCCGGGCACTCCGCGGCCCCGTGCCCACCTGAGCCTCTCCGCGGGCCCCTTCCAGCGCGCTTCCCGCGACGGTCACCGCGACCTCCGGCCCCGCGCTCCCGTCCCCTCCCACGCCGCGCGGCCTCACGTGACCCGCAGCCTGCAGCTCCCGCCGCCCGCCCGGAGCCCGCGCCGCGGAGCGGGGGGCGGGGCGACACGCACCCGGAAGCGACGTCACACGAGCCCCGCCCCGGAGGCGGTGACAGGAGCTGGCCCGGGGCTCTGGCAGCTCGCTTGACCCTAGTTTGTGGTAAGAATTCTTTTGCCTCTGCCCTGCTTTATTTGTGTACATTTAGAGAAACTCGGGCTCGGTATCTAGTTTGCCCGACAAGGAAGGAGAAGGCGACCATTCCCGGGAGGAACTGAGGCCGACAGGGAGACTGGCCTCCCGCTTTGCATCATGGGACTTGTAGTCTGCACAAGGTTGGGCTGGTTCTGGCAGGTAAGAGGTGGTTTTCCAGATTTAGCAGCGCTTTAAGAGATGACAATCGATTCCAAGAGTGGCAAGACACAACTCTGCACTGCAGCCTATTTGTCCTACATAACTCACAGGTTTTCATGGGCAGAGAACTGGAATTCTTTAGTGCTTGTCTGTTTTACCGTTGGAAGCAATTTCAGCGCAAGTGATACAGCCCTGGGCTTGTTAGGCGTGCACTTCTGAAGAACTGAAAGGTTTTTCTGGAAAATTGTTCTTTGATAATCAAATAACAAAATGCGGACTAATTTACAGTTCTGTTTATCCTTAGAAGTGTGCAATTTGATATAAATTTCATCTAATGATTTCCAAGGCTTTGCAATGTCTTTCCAAGACTGGAAAAAATTGATAGTTGTTACTACATAATGATCGTAGGAAGATCATCTGGCTTGTGGCATGACAATGGTTTTGGGTTGATAATATTGTTCTTCCACTGTGAATGGAACATACAAAGAGAATTCTATGGAAACAGTAGACTAAAACATGAGGTAGTGCCGAAGCCGGTTTGGCTCAGTGGATAGAGCGACAACTGAAAGGTCCCTGGTTAGATTCTGGTCAAGGGCGTGTACCTTGGTTGCGGGCACATCCCCAGTGGGGGGTGTGCAAGAGGTAGCTGATCAATGATTCTCTCTCATTGATGTTTCTAACTATCCCTCTTTCTTCCTCTCTGTAAAAAAATCAATAAAATATATTAAAAATATAAAAAATAAAATAAAACATGAGGCAGTTTTTGAGATAGGCTTGGCAGTCTTGCCCTGAGGTGGCAGTTGTATCCCTGAGTTCTGTAAGTGAAGAAGGGTGTAGAGAGAAAAGAAAAGGTAAATGAGCCTGAGAACATTTCCATCACTTGTGGTTGCAAAAGATAACTGACGAAGAAAACCTGATAGGCCAAAATCAAGGAAGCCAAGGAAAACGAAACTTTTAAGAAGTAAAGATGTCCAGATACCCCTGGAGGAAGAGAACAATATTGAAAAGGTCATTGAAATTGTTCAAGAACTTTCTTCACAGAAAAGATGCAAACGGGATAAACATACTATATGGGTCCTTCACCTACCAGAATATCTGCTATTAGTAAATGTCTAGATTTTACTTTCAGAAAATGAACTGAACGTCTTTTTAAAAAAATTAAAATTGTTTTGAAAATTGTGGTGTAATTGACATATAACATTATCTTAATTTCAGGTGTACAACATAAGGATTCTATGTTTGTACATATTAAGAATTGATAACAGTAAGTCTGGTTAACATTCGTCACCACACATAGTCACAGGCATTTTTTCATGTGATAAAGATGTTTAAGGCTTACTCTCTTAGCAGTTTTCAAGTATGCAATGCATACCTCACTTACTTATCTTATACCTGGGAGTTGTACCTCCTGGCCCCCTTCATTCACTTCACTCGCCCTCTACACCTTGCTTCTGGCAACCACCCATCTATTCTCTGTTTCTGTGAGCTTAGGATTTTGTTTTGTTTTTTAAATTCCACATGTAAGTGAAATCACACGGTATTTGTCTTTCTCTGTCCAACTTATTTCACTTAGCATAATGCCCTCAAAGTCCATCCATGTTGTCACATATGGCAAGATTTCATTATTTTTATGGCTGCATAGTATTTCATTTGAGTGTGTGTGTGTGGTGTGTGTGGCAATTCCTTTATCCATTCATCCTTTGATGGACACTTGGAATGGTCATTATCAAAAAGACAAGAAATAATAAGTGTTGGTGAGAACACAGACAAAAGGAAACCCTTGTTTGTGCTGTTGGTGGGATTGCGGATGGGCACAGCTACGGTGGGAAACAGTATGGGAGTTCCTCAGAAAGCTTAAAAAACAACTACATGTGATCCATTATTCTCACTTCTGGGTGCTTATTCAAAGGAAATAAAAATATGCATTTGAAAAGACATATGCACGCCATCGTCATTGCAGCATTATTTACAATAGACAATGTGTGGAAACACCCTAAGTGCCCATCAAAGGATGAATGGATATTAAAATTTGATATAAATTTTATCTCATAATTTCCAAGGCTTTGTTTTCATATCTTTAACATTTATTGTCTATTATAAATAAGAAATGAGGGTAAAAATATCACACCACTGCACAAGGAAGTATGTGCAATAGGCAGACATCTCCTGAGGTGGCTTCGTAGATCCAACACGTCCTTCTCTGGAACTGGTCCTTAAAGCCATGTTCATAATATGTCACTCTTATAACACACATTTAAAAAAATATATATATTGGTTTCAGAGAGGAAGGGAGAGGGATAGATAGATAGAAACATCAATGATGGGAAAGAATCATTGATTGGCTGCCTCCCACAGGTCCTACCCTGGGGATCAAGTCTACAACCTGGGCATGTGCCATGACTGGGAATTGAACCATGATCTCCTGGTTCATAGTTCTCAACCACTGAGCCACACCAGCTGGGCTAACACATGTTTTTTTTAATATGTCATAGATGATTGTGTCTATGGAGGACATTTGACCCATGCTGTGTCCAAAGATGCTCTCTCCTAGGAAATTAAAAGTGGGTGGGCTGGGCGAGACACAGGCTTGGAAGGCCCAGGTGCTGGGGGATTCTGTGGTGAGAAGTTCCTCAGTGTCCAGCTGCGAAGGTCCCTGGTGTAGATGTGGTCCTTCCCCGTCCCTGTACTGTTTCTTGGAGTTCTTGAGATACCCTAGCATTCTGTCAGTGGATTTGCTTTCTGCTTAAATCCAGCCAGAATTGGTTCTTTTGCTTATAACCAAAAATACAACTGAAATAGCAAGTTGGAACAAGGCAAACTGAATAGGAGTTGCAAAGGCTGATAAAATACAAACAATTTCTTCGCAATAATTTATGAATAAACCCACATAAAAAACAACTTGTTCAATTATTACTTTGGTGTCATTTCATAGATTCCTCAATTTGTGTATATTGATTTCCATCATCTTACCATTTGGGTCTATGTTTCCCCTGTGCTTCATTTTCTTGCTGCCATGACATTGTAAGACTGCAGAGAAGGAGCCACATGATCCACTCTTAAGATACGGGCGGTGACCAATATAGCAGCAGGCATCAGGAAAGCCAACGTTATTGCAATGGAACCATGACTTCTGCAATTCCTGAGTCCGGGTAGGAATCACATGGCCTCTATAATGGTGCAGGGAAGACACATCTCAATCTGGCTACTTTGATTCATGATTCTCCACCCATTCTACTACACAAGGAACTTTGTGAAAGCATTCGGAGAAATCCTACGGGAAAGATAACTAAGATATCCAATTTCTTCACAAAATGACACTCATAGTCTTAGAAATCAAAGGGACTATAATGATCCTGGGGATAAGGCTCCCTTTTAGAGCAAAGATGACTGAGGAAAACAGGCAAGAAGATCCACCTGGAGTCATGGAGCCAATGAGTGCATCCTTGGCACCCACACTGGAGAGCTGCTCCCCACACCCAGTAGGACAGCCTTTCAGAGATCGTCCGCTCCGCTGTGCCCTGATGTCTCCCAGCCTTTCAGGAGAGCGTGCCCCTGGTGCTTTCTCAGTGAGCACTTGCTACCTGGGCAGTGCGATGGCTTTGGTGCAGGAGGAGGGCCTGCATCTGGCCTTAAGGGTTGGTAGGAATGGGATAAGTAAAGGAGGGAGGCGAGGCACGCCTGACAAAGTCAGACTTGAGAGAGGACATGAAAGAGGTCGGGTGTTGTGGGGACAGGAGGCGGCGACCTGATTGGATTGAGAGATGTTCAGGTGGAACTGGAAGTAGAGAGACGAACTCCTACTCTTTCCTCAAGTCCATCTCACATCCAATCTCCTCAGTAACACCTTCCTGATTTCCTGCGATGGAAGGAGGTGAGTCCCTCCTCTGTGGCCACATTGTATTTGGGTTGTGAGTGGAGGCAGGCATCACAGTGCGCTGTGAGTACCATTCTGCATGTGCAGTCTGAGGGCCGGGATCACCTGTTAGACATCGTGTGCTGACAGTAATTTGCATGGTAACCGCATGGTCCCCAAATGACTATTTGTTTTACACCTGGCCCACTCTACTTACTAACATTTCCTATGAGATCCATGTGGACATTTGCATTTTCAACTCCTAGTTTAGAGAATAAAATCCACATTTTTTTGAGTAGGCCTCTGTGTCCTTTCATGAACTGTCTTTTATCTACTTTTATAGTCTATTTCCTCCAGGTTAATTAATCCATTCATCAATTAACCAGCTATTTATTGAGTACCTGTCACATGCAGTGAATCTCCAAGTCTAGCCATGTCAGTTCTTTCCCATTCTGAGCCCTTCATTTTTCTCCCCTGCTGGTATTTATTGTTCTTTTGTCTGGAATTCTACTTCTCCCATCCTGTACTTGGGGCTGTGCTCTGAGTGACCTTCTCTCATGAAGCTTGTCTGATTCCCCTCCCCCTGTCCTCACAGTCCCCCTCGCAAGCTTCTGCCGTGGCCTGCTCCTATCCTATGTGCTTGTCCCGTGTCTGCCTTCCGGACTAGACCTTGCTCTTCTTGAGGCAGAGACTTGTCTTTCCATCTTCGCCGCTGGCTGGCAGGACCTCTGGCCTGGGCTGAGCCTAAGGTGAGTGAATAAATGAACGACAGTGAGGCATTAAAGCTTTCTTATTGGATCAGCTTGGTGGTTCAATATGAACACACAC